CCTCTTTCCCAAGCAGCCTGTTCCAAAATGTGAGCACCTGCATGAGGGATGCCTTAATTTATGCCCCTATAGCAGCTTCTTGACTCTTCAGGTTTCCTTTGGGACATTCTTTATGGGTATACCTTGTCTAGGGATGGTGCTGGATCAGAATTTGAGCTTTGTTCTAAAAAGCTCACGTGGTCAAATACAGCCACCTGGGGTGAATGGAAATGTGTTACCCAAAATATCATCTGGCAAGAGTCTGGGGTTGTAGACTTATAGAATCACCAAGACTGGAAAAGATCATCCAGTCCAACCATCTACCAATCACCCACTGTTCTCACTAACAGTAGGGGGTGGTTCAGGAGGACGCATCTACTTTGATCCATCCTCTCAACGTCTAGATGCAACACTGTGTTCCATGATACTAGCACTGTCATATGGCAATGAATGAGCTCATGGCTTGCTGCACTTTCTTCTGAGATGTCCATGCCTATGCAACATAACTGAGTGATACAGTCTTGAGCAGTCACAGGCATGAGTTGGACTAGATTATTTTAGAGGCTGCTCCAACCTTAATGATTCTATGATATCCTGGTAGCAAGGGTGCAATTGGCACTGGGGAGCAGGAGGTGCCTTGGGTAGGGAATGCCAATTGCTGCAGGGCTTGCAGGTTGCTTTCTGGGACAAAAAGATCAATTCACTTCATGGCAGTTCCTTCTATCTGATGGTCTGAGGTTTGAGGTGTTGGTAACCAGTGTGGACTCTTCAGAGTCTATGTGTTCAGATCAAGGTGTGTTTTGTGTATGGCATCTGAAGTCTTAAAACTGCAGAGATGCATGGGACGGAGCAAAAATCTGAGCTGGAATTTCCTCTGCAGCAAATTATGAACACGTTTGCTTGCAAAGCTGACATGGCTCAAATTGACACCAGCTATTGCATCTTCAACCTGCCTCCTGAGTTTTACTTACATTGGTTATTTTGAGTAAGTTCTTGTTCTTTTAGGAACTGGGAAAAACTCTGACATTTTCTCTCCATCTTTATGAGCCATTAGGATTTATTCCATCCTTTGGATCCTTGTAGGTGTGCTAAGCCTCAAGTCCTTATTTTTATCTTTCAACTTGACACTCGAATGATTTGTGCCTGGCCTTTGCTTTGGGTTGGGTGCAGTCTGTCTCTTCATTTTCCTTTGTTGTCCTGCAAAACAGTTTGTCTATCTATGTGCTAGGACCTCAGTTACCCATTAACACTGATGCCATCAAATATTGGACTTCGTACCCTCGTCCTGCTGGTATCTTGCTGATTCCACATCCTGAAGTCCCTATTAATTCTTCATTTAGGGCAACCTCACTATTTCTATTACACACCTCAGTGTGATCTCCTGTGGGACTGCTGAGCTCTTTCTCAATAGGATTTTGTGATGTCCCTGATGATGCTCCCTGAACAGAAGCCCAAGAAGTGCTGCGGCTGCAAATAGAATCATAGAGTCATTAGGGCTAGAAAAGACCTCCCAGATCATCAAGTCCAACCATCAACCCATCCCCACCATGCCCACTAACAGCGTCCCTCAGTGCCACATCTCCATGTTTCTTGAACACCTCCAGTGACTCCCCCAACCTCCCTGGACAGCCTGTTCCAATTCTTCACCACTTTTTCTGAGAATATATTTTTCCTAATATCCAACCTGAACCTTCCCTGAACGCAACTAAAGGCCATTACCTCTTGGATATACTTCCTCTGCCCAGACAGCTGTTTGCAGGAGACTTGTATGAAAATATTTCCAATATTTGTTTTCCTTTGTTAGATTTGACTGAAGTTGTCAAGATTTTGCTGGGTTGTGAGGTGGAGGATCTGTCTGGTTGTGTGATATGCACCACGGCACAGTGGTAGGCGTAGGGATGTAAGTTTGAGTGGATCATCTGGAAAGGCTCTGTGTGCCCAGATGTAGCACTGTGATGAAGGTTTTTTATCTGTATGCAACAAGGATAGTTATTTAGTGGATGCAGCATCTGCTATGGGAGATCCAGGGATGGGAGAAGCGTGGGATCCAGCTGGAGATGCAGCCAAACAGGAGGCAAGCGTCAGGCAGATGGGTCTGCAAACCCACTGAGTCCCATCATTTTTACACAGATCTTGCTGACAGGAGTTATTTATTTATCTCCATATTTGTTGGCATAGCAAAATGGAATATGAGTTTATTACAACATATACACGGGAAAAATAAATTCAGAGAAACAGCTCAGCCTCTGGCACTGCTGTTAAGTATGTGAGAGCTGTTCCTTCCTTCCCCCCTTTGTGCTTTTCATTCTTCTGTTCCAGCTGTGGAGAACTTTGTCCGTCAGCTTTTTGGAGTTTGGAGGCTATTTGTTCTCCTGGAGAACCCGGGGACATTTGCTCCTATAGATTATTTACCAGGCACTGTAAAAGATCAAGGAATTTGCTGGGATTGCTTGCAAAATCCTGAAATTTATGGGGTCGTTGCCCTGTTCTTACCAAACCTGGTAGCTCTCTGTAATGATTTAGGAGATCTTTAACAAGGGTGATGACAGTCAGTGTCTACAAAATGAGTTGAGAGCTGCTGGATTGCATCTTTCTAATATTTAATGCACAAAATGAGCCTAAGTGACACCTAAGTGATAACTACACTCAGCTGCCCTAGGCTGGATGGCGCAGCAAATGGCAGCCCTCGTTGGCCTCAGCCAACCCAAAATGTTGGGATCTGGATTATGAAACCCTTTTGCATCCTTTCTTTCACCTTTGCAATGTGAATTCTTAGCGTATTTGTTCAGAGCTGAAGCAATAAACAATATTGAAGAGGAAAAAAAAAAAAAAAAAGAATTGCATATCAGATGTTTAAAAATGTGCTTTGGCATAGCACATGGGGACTGCAAAAGCTCAGATTTATTTATTGCTGCTTAGGCCATTTTTTTTTTTTCTGTGTATGTGTGACCACGAGCAATTGCTGATCATTCAGATGTGCTTTTAGTTCTGTTCTTTGTCCCTTTGGCTGTGTATTGCTCCCAGGACATCACCATGGCGTTATGGACCCCTTCCCTGTGGCTCAGCACTCTGCCAAGGAAGTTTTTAAGAACAGAACAATATTTTCTTGGAATTACAAGGAGGCAGAGAGATGTATGTTAGCATTTAAGCTTTTCTGGATGCCTACCCCATACAGACCAGCAAGTGCATGAGAGCAGGCTTCAGTCTCAGCCAGATATGTGTTCATGAAGTGGATATGTTAGCTATCTTGGTGCATAATATATGGCATTTCTGATGTTATTTTAAATACATATATTCCCAGAAAAAAAAAAAAAAAAAAGTGATGTATTTACAATCTAAATTATCTTTCACCTGGTTTATATTTCTATGATGGAGTGATGGCATCAGTGGATAAAGGAAGGGCAGCTGATGTCATATACCCAGACTTGTGCAAGGCCTTTGACATGGTCCCACATCACATCCTTGCCTCTGTATTGGAGGAATGTGGGTTCTAAAGGTGGACTATTTGGTGAATAAGGAATTGGTTGGATGGTCACAACCAGAGGGTTGTGGTCAGTGGCTCAGTGTCCATCAAGGTGTTGAGGAATGTTCTTGTGCTCCATGCTGGGTTCACTCATGGTCCAGAACAGACCCTGTACTGCATAGCTGAGAATTAAATAAATGGGAAGGGAAAAGGGGATGCTGTCAGGTTAGGATTGCAAGAGGTGGTGGGGTGAACTCACCAAAACTTATAATGTGACTCTTGCAGAAGATATGGGATAAAACAGTTGTCTCAGACCTTAGCTCCAATACTTGATTTCCTAGATGCATAATACTGTTGTTAAGCCCTTATTTGAATGTTTTAAATTTGCAGTTTGTGGTGATTTCATTATTTTTGCTGTTGCTTTCACCCTGAAGTCATTTCCACAGCAACTGCACTGGAGGTAGGAAGGAAGTATGCAGCACAAGTCAACCACTGCATGGCAAAGATCTCCAACTACAGACAGCAATTAGAATAGAAAGGGAAATTAAAAGACAGAAAACACACTGGGGACACTTCAGTCCTGATGGCCTGCAAGACTGGTGTACATGATTGACAAAGTGACACCAGCCCTCTTTAAGGTGCTGTGGACACTTGACCTTCATCTTACATGAGGATTTATTTAGGTTGGACTACTCCACACTCAGTCTTGTTTTCCAAAAGGGACCAAACCTACAATGCAGTGGAATTTTGAAGCTGAATGTTGTTAGCTGTAAGAAAATTTCCATCCATGGCAAAAAGCTCGATGAAGTAATCAAGCTCATCTTCCCCCCAAGTCTGTAATTTCCACCCTGGAAGCAGTCTGTGTCTCCCTTTGAAGTCTGCTCAGCCCCAGATGTGCAGGTGAGACTGAGAACAGGAGAACAATTTTTTATTGCCTGCTAAAAAAAGGAGTGAAACCCCTTCTTGCAATGCTGTAGTTATTACGTCATAGAAATAAGTCACTGCTTTGCCAAGGGCTATCCTATAGCCCTAATGAGCATTTGTTTGGGGACTTTGCTAAACTGCCTGTGAGCAGTAACCACAGCTTTCAGCCCTCTTTGACTGCTCCAGGATGATAGGATGGATTTCCAGGGATGGGATTTAGGGACCCAGGAGGGTCAGGAGGCTGTTTGCAAAACAGGACGATAAAGTGTGGGTGGTTGATGTCTGCAATGATGCTCATGGACAGATCTTTGCTCCCCATGTGATTGAGGCAGCAGATGCTTCCCTCTTCTATTGCAGCAGTAATGCTCACCTTTAGGCTTAATTGATGATGGTTGTTACTGCCTGAAGAAGGGTGCTGTCGGAGAAAGATGCTGGGAAAACAAAGCAGAGCTCTCCTCTGTAGCCAGCCTCAGCAAAGTGATGGAGAAATTTAAGGAGTTTAAGGCTGATTCCCTAAGTCAAGATGAACCTTGGTAGATGGAGGAAGGCTTCCCTTACCACTGCAAGCAGGTAGGAGCATCTCATTCAGATGGCACGTTTTAAAACCTCTTTTCTCCTGCAGATGAATGAATTTCCAGGCTGGGTGTTGACTCCAGGAACAATGGAAAAGAAAATGTATGCCCAGATCCTTGCCCTGGCAGTGGCCATGGCACATTACAGAGCCATGGCTGTTCACGAAGGTATGTGATAAGTGGGTAACTGTGACCCCTGGGGGTGATGATGAGACACACTGAGGAGAAAAAAGTGTTTTCCAAGCAACTGTTTTTGCTAATGTGATTATGGGGTGCAGCTGTAGTGCTGGTGCCTTTGACTTCTGCATTAGGGTTCTTCTTTTTGGTCGGGAGTGGCTGGCCAACAGTGATCTCTGAAAGCTGGTACAAGGACATGAGGACATGAGGACATGAGGCTGAGGACCTCAAGGTAACCTTGAAACCTCCTGCTGCTCTTTAGAGTTAAGACTGAGCACCTCGATCTAGCTGTAGATATGCCTGTTCATTGCAAGGGAGTTGGACTAGTTGACCTTAATAGTCCCTTCTAACTCAAGTGATTCTATGATAATATTGTCTTATTTCCTCCCTGGCTCCCCAGTGTCTGTGCAAACCCAAAGAGTTTTTGATGAGGAATAACCAGATCTGAAAGACAAGAGCCAAAGGGATCCTGGAGAAGAGCTTCAAACACTTACAGCATAATCAAGTCCATGTCTCTGTAGCTTCAGAGTCCTGTATGAAGGGAGGGCTCCTTGCAAGCTCCCAGGAGTGCCATGGGGCTGAACATGAAACAGTGGGTCCCTTCTCTTTGAATCCTTCTCCAGGAACAAGCCCTCAAGCTTTGAAAGTGTAAATTCACCTAGAGTAAATTCAGTGAATTCAACAAGGAGTTAATGGAAGCTTTGGCATCAAAGACAAAATTAACTTGATTAAGTTCCTGTCCATCAATTAAGCCAATATACTCAACTATAATGCTATTTAATTTGAAGCTGGGAACAGTGCAATAAATCAATGTTTACAGATGTCTCTGGCAAACCTGTGATTGATGAAACGTGGTAATTTTGGAGGTGCATGGAAAATTTCAAATAAAATCATATTCTCTGGTGATTAATATAGCTGTCTATGTTGGTATTTTCTCCAGAAGGTACCAATCCAAATATGCTTAACATAACATGTTTCCAGTGACAGCTTCAGATATACCTGATCCAAGTAGTGAATGCATTTGGGTTTCATTGCCAAGCCAGCCCCCTCTTGCTTAGTATCTCACAGAATGGGCTCTGGTTGCCCCTTTGTAGAGAACAGGGCACTGTGCTTCTCTTTTTAATCCTATGGAACTCCTGCAGCTCACTGTTGTCTTTCTCCTCATTATCCCTGAATGCAAACAAGGGTGGGAGCATTGTGTAGGGTGAGCAAGACTCCCATGGACAATTCATGGATTGAGGAATTCTCTCTGGGGTTTTGGGATGTAGAGGTAGATAGCCCTCTGATATCAACAGCATTCTGAGCAAGATTTCCAGATTGGTTACAAAGATGCAGCTCTTCCAGGAAATTTCTATACACAGAACCCAAAGAGGTGGGTGATTCTGGGAGAGATTTTGGAAAACGTTCTCAGTCTTGTTCAGCTTTTGTTGGGGTTTTCTCATGTTAACACAGGTTATGGATAACTTGGAAAGCCGTGAGGAAGCCAGAGATTGGCATTGCTTTCCTTCAGAGTCTTCTGGGATTGAAGGGACATCAAGGTCCAGGCTTTGGGAAAGGGGTTGATCCAAAAATAAGCTTATGGTGATCTGCTGTTAATGGCTGAGCTGCCTCCAAGACAACGCTGACATCTCAGCTGAAAGGCACTTATGGAGAAAGGAAAGGAGATCTTAAAAAGGAGCTCTAGAAAGGAAAATTGGAATAATTGTCTGCCATTTTTTGTCAGGGGAAAGTACTTTGTATTTCCAGCTGGGTAAGTTAAACCAAAAAGAGCCAGTCATTATTTTTTTTTCTGTAGTAAACAGAATTGTTAAGTTGTAAAGAGCTCAGCATCAGGAGGCACAAAGAAAAATGAAGAAATGAAAAACCCTGGGCAACAAAGAGCTGTGGACAGACATCCGTTTGCAGCCAGCAAATGATGCTCTTTTCCTGCTGTGTGGCCAAAGGGATTGATCAGGGACAAGTAGAAATGAAGGAGAGCACAAAACCTGCATCCTTCTAATCTCTACAGGAAACCTGCTCTTAGGAATGGGGTAAAACTTGGGTAAATTGCAGGGGATGAGCTAAAATGGGCTTTCTATAGTAAGAGAGTGAGAAAAACCCACCTAGCACTTCTCCCCAGCAAATGCTCCAACCTGGGTGAGTGTGGGTTGGGTCCCCAGCTGCAAGTCAAGGCAGTAGTTGAATGAAGTCCAAAGCATCAATGAAACAAAATGAAAAAAAAATGTGAAGAGGTTGACCCCAGTCCTGCTGTGGAAGCCTTCCTCCAGCAGTCAGAACACTCTACTTTTTAGTAGAGTACAGTAATAACTCAGCATCTATCTGCAGTAGAGTGAAATGCCAAAGAAAATAGAAATTTTGAATTTCCCCTTTAAAGCCGTCCCTAAAGCATCCCTAAAAGTCACCAGATTCGTGTCCATGAAATGTATTTATTGAATGCCTAAAGAAAGTGAAATTAAATTTAAAACAACTAAACAGTGCCTTGATGTTCATTAAACAGATTTCCCCATACACCTGTCCCTTCTCTGCCAGCTGCCATTGGTTAGTTCTGGCTTGTACAGAAAAAACACTCAAATTGTTCATTCTTTGCAAATGGCATTATTTTTTATGCTGGAATTTTAGCAAGAGGTCTGCATTGCAGGTCTGAATGTGTGGAGTGTCCCAGGCTCTCTGCATGCAAGTCTGGAAGACCTGGTTCTTTTAGGTGGTCCTACAGGTGCATTGGATGACTTACAGTGTCTCTGGAGACCCTGATGACAAGGTGATCAGGGTCTCTCTTTTAGCTGTAACATTTCAGGTGTTCACATGAAGGGTTTCTTTCCTGGCTGCCGCATTGTGTGGTGAGATCATAGAATCATACAATATCCCAAGTTGGAAGGGACGCATAAAGATCATGCATCCAACTCATGAGATGAGCTTTCCTGCCCTTCTTCTCCTTCAGTGTGCAGGACAGCAGAGGTGGCCGATGTCCTGTTCCTCGTGGGGCATTCCCAGGGGGCAGGGAGAGAGAGCTCCCAACTGCTCAAGGACTTCATCAGCAGCATGGCTCGCTCCTTTGAGAATGTGGTGATGGGCAAAGGAGGCATCCGGCTGGCTGTGGCACTCTATGGAGAGAAACCAAGGTGGGTCAGTGCATCCTCTACCACCAGCACATGGGTCCCTATAGCCCTACAGCTCTAGATGGGGACAGTTTTTGCTAAGAAACTATTTCTCTTCATTAAAGAGCTCTTGCTATTTGGTTGAACAACTGCGAGAACAAAGCATGAGTTCAACCCCTAATAAGGTCAGCAAAGTATAGAGGTATTTAGCCATGGGGAATTCTTCCCAGGTAGGGAGGGTGACACTTAATACACAAGAAATTCCCTGCTCTCCAATGTCAGATACTGCTTTAAGGCTTTGGGATTTCCCTGACCATTGTAAAGAGGATTTTGACTACCTACAAGCCTTGTGTAACCATCTAAGTGCCAACGTCACTGTTGGCCATCACCATTAATGATACATCCTTGCTGTAATAACATTTTCTTGCCCTTTATTCACTCATTTCTCATTCCTAGGATGTGTATTGAACTGACAGACTACGTGACCATCGAAGAAATGCTGGTGGCAATTCAGGAAATTTCAATCAAAGGCAGCAGCTTGAAAGTGGGGTCTGCCCTGGCATTTGCAGCTCACGCCATGTCTCGCCCAGACATGCTGCGAGAGGATGCAGCAAAGGTAAGCAGCCCTTCTGCTACCATTGCTCTGATGTTACACTCAGTAGGGATCAGACTTCTGATGTTTCACCCACAGGCATGAATGAGCCAGTTGGGTTGCATTCACCCTATGTGTTTTGTTGTTTTTTTTTTTTTTTTTTTGCTTTTGAGGTTCCTCACTTATGAGCTCATTCAGCTTCAGGTCTGAGATAGAAAGAGAGGCAAGCCCAGATTTTCAAAGGACTGACTGAATGTCTCTCAAGCATCTGTGTTCTCCTTCCCTCCTAACTCATGTGGGCTAAATTGCAACCGAGATTTGAGATGTTGGTTTGGAAATCCTACAGCTGACTCTCTGAACTCCTCCTCTTGTGCTCTTTCATCCTCTAGCTCTGATTCCAATTCTTGTAGGTCGTTGTTTTGATCACGAGTGGGAAATCCAGTGATTTGGTTGAAGACAAAGCCCAAGTCCTGCAGGATGCAGGAGTGACCGTGTTTGCTGTTGGTATGTATGGACATAGAACCATAGAATTGTTTGAGTTGGAAGGAACCTTCAAAGATCCAGCTCCCCTACAATGAACAGAGATATTTACAACTAGATTATAGACGTGCTAAGCTACTAAATACAGTGTGCACAAACACTGTTCACAGTCTACACACCAGGAAAGGCTGCAGATGTACAACAGCACCCACCTCCAAACGCTGCATCCATCGCCTGGCACAGCTACTAGCAACTCCTGCATGAACAGGAAAATCACATCTGTGCTGTACTTGGATTTTGTTGTTGTCGATTGCTGATTTATTCAGTTGGTATCTGTGGTTTTGCATCTGTCAAAACGACTTGCAAATTCAGGAGGAGTTCAATAAATAGTTCCATTAAAGTCAAAATGTTTTGATGCGGCATTTTCAAAAATGAAATGTTTTTTGTTTTTTTTTTTTTTACTTTTGAAGGTTTCTCTTAATGGGATTTAGAGGCTGACTTTAGCTGCGTTAAGTTGTCCATCAGAATAATTCCATAGGCAAGGAAAAATTTTAACCCCTTTCCAAGAGCCAAATACAGCCACTTATTACACGTCAAACCCTTCTCTTTGCCAGGCGTTTTGGGGAGAAAAAAGAGTTGGTGGTGTTTTATTATGGAGAGCAGCTAGGTTAATTTGGATCAATGGAAGCACAAAATTTCTGGTTGATTTTTTTTTTTTTTTTTCAATTCAGCCACTGGAAAACCCAAAAAATTTCACACAGCCTTCTCAAAGTCTCTTTGATTGTCTGTCAGAAGGATAGAAATGCCTCTGTACTTAATGGGGAGAATAAGGGCAGATCCTCCCTTTCACTGTCCACCCAAAGCATCCCATTAGTTGCCAGGCCCCCTTGGGCAGTCTCTAATATGCCTCTGAAAAAAAAACTTGGCTTCTTGTCCCTTGTGCAAGAGGCCACACCTGCTCCACAAACCCCCACCCAGATTTTGGCTCCATTCCATTCCAGTACATTTGTCCCATTCATTCTTCAAAGACTTTTACTAATGCTTGACCTACTCCACTGCGAGTCTCTGGGGTCCTCCTTTCTTTCTTTTTTTTTTTCTTCCTATAGGAATTAAAGATGCTGACAAGCATGAACTGAGCAAAATAGCTTCGGAACCCACAGCAGAGCATGTGATTTATGTTGATGACTTTCACCTGCTCCACAATGCAGCCCAGAAACTCTCACGAAGGCTCTGTTTCACTGCCTCGGAGCCCCCACGGCCCATCAAACAACCTCTGCAAGGTTTGTTGGGATTCTCCTTTTATCCTGCCCCAAACAGCCAATTCCTAATCCATAGATGTGCCAACCACACCATGGTGATGGGTCTCCCATATTCTCATTCATCTCAATGGAACTCTATGGGTTGGCTGACCCTGGAGGAGCAACCAGTTCAATGGAGCATCTGTTGCTCAGGAGCGGTGGTCCTATGTATTTTGCTTGTGTCTGCATTACTGTGGTTAGTCTCAGGTTAGATATTAGGAAAAGTTGCTTCTCTAAAAGAATGGTAATGCATTGGAACAGGCTGCCCAGGGAGGTGGTGGAGTCATTGTCCCTGGAGGCATTCAAGAAACATGGAGATGTGGCACTGAAGGTATAGTTTAGTAGACATGGTGGTGATGAGTTGATGGTTGGACTGGATGATCTTAGTAGTCTTTTCAACCTTAATGATTCTGTGATACCGGATGCTGAAGTTCTTACTGTCTTTTTTGACAGTAGAGTAGCAATATTTTGGGGCAGTTGTTCTACACCTTGGCATTTTCATGATGGGCTTATCATGGTGAATTCTGATAGCATAGTCTTGGGTATTATTTTCATCTTTACAGAAGATGCAAAGAGCAGACAAAAAGATCCCAAGAGAGATCTAGATCTCTCCCAAAAGATGCAGATGTTGCAGCAAGTCCAGAGGTGGTGGCAACAAGTTCTTATCGTTCTCTTGGAACCCAAACTCACAAAAAAGATAAGTTAAAAAAGCTTAGAGCAGAGCTTGGGAGAACTTTGTGGATAAAGTCCAACACCAAATTCTTTCTCTGCACTGAATATGCTGAGTCCCCCAGTGAAAGACCTTCACGCATCCAACACCAATGCCATCATGGTTCAAACAAAAGACCCTTCTTATCTTATTTTGCAGCTGAGAAGATCATTGGCCCCCGGGATCTGCGTGTCAGTGAGCACAGCCACAGCTCACTGAGGTTCACATGGATGGCAGCTACGGGGAGGGTGATGGGGTACCGTGTCCACGTGTATCCCTTGTTGCCTTCAGGACAGCCAGTTTTGGAGGATCAGCAGCAGGTAGACTTGCATTCCCATCTTGTAGAGCCCCAGTTGTGCTCACAGTGTTAGAGATTAATCCTCTCCTGAGGCTGTTGATGGCACAGCCCAGCTGGGAGATGGCACCATGTCACTCAGCCATCCAGGTTATAGCTGAGTGCATCCCAATAAATTGCTGAAACTGCTTTTTTGAAGTGAAGGTCTGTAGGGGGACCATCAAATTTGCAGACATGTCGATTGTTTGTGCGTGATGGCATTACTATGGGAGTGAGGCAGGGAAGGAAGAAAGGAAGGAGATTATGACACAAGCTGTCACTAACTGTTGGGATCGATAAGAACAAGTTGATGGGAACCACTCCTTTCTTTCCTTACCTCTGTGACATGACCTCTCAAATAAGTCCACAGCAGCCCCTATTCCTCTTGTTGTTATCCTTAAATCTTGGTAAGGCTTCTGTACATTTTTATTTTCCCATATCTTTGTGAGAAGGATGATGCTGTGTACCAGCTCATTCTGGGACAGCTTGGTCACTGAACAAAGCAGGACTGAAGGATAGAAAATGTATGCCTGAAAGCTTTCATTTCTAATAATAGAACAAACCTATGAAAGCATAAAATATTAAAGTTAAGATTATTAATTGTATTAATTATTCAGATTGCATTTAACAAGAATGATCATCCTTGACTGCTTCAGAATCTCATAAGAACGTTGTAAAAACACAGAAGTTATGTTTATTTCTTTCGCCCTCAGGCTATATTGAAATTTTCCTATATGAGCGCCAAAGAAACTATCTTTGTCAAAAATAGTGGGTTTTCCTCCATTTTCTTTAAGGTGGGGGTTGGGGAACAGCCTCACCATTTTGAGTGTTCTTGTTTTCATGGAGTTCTTACCCCATGGAATCCAGCTTTGGCATTATCCTGTGTCAGTGACATGTCCCTTGAGAGCCTGGTTATCTTTCAAGCACTGCAGTGCACTGATCCTGCTCATGGAAGCACCTTGCACTAGAGGAGAAGCCTTGTGCTTCTAACCTGCTGTGAAAGTGGGAATCTTCTACCCTCACAGAGATGTAATGATAACTCTCGTCCGCCTGTGTGACAGATTTTGGTGGATGGTGACAAATGCACTGTGCTGGTGACTGATCTGAAACCCAACACCAAGTACATCTTCACAGTGAGAGCCATCTATAGAGATGCCCTCGGGGAGTCAGCAGCTGTCAAGGGGAAAACCAGTGAGTGTCTCTTCTGAAACCATCCCATCTTCTTGTTCACGTGGGCACAGGAAAAGAAACCACCTCAGAGCCATACATGCAAGGAGTGGGGGATGTAGGAGTAGGAGAAACATCTATAGAAATGTCCCTGGTGTGGAATGAAGCACTATGAGCAGATGCAGAGTAACCCAACCATGTACCATGTGTACAGCCCACTGGATAGCTCATCTAATGTGATGTGGAATTTAATGAATCCAGGCTGGGGTTTAGTTACTGTAACTCTAATGTACATGGGATGAAAGAAGCTTCTGGAAACCATGTGTTTAGAAACATGAGTTTTATGGAGAGATGTATGTTCTAAATATCTTGGTTTGGAAGCAGATGGTCCAAAAACTTTGGGTTGGCGTTGTGTACCACTTAGAATTTCACATCACTTAAGGAGAACACCAAAGGAGCAAGATCATGGCCTTTAGGAAATGTCCCAAGTAGTGGACATCTTCTGGATTACAGTCTGCCATGCCACATTCCTTTGCTGTCATATTGCTGGCTGTAACGTTGAGGTTCTTGGAAACAAAAAGGTAAATTCACTCTTGGTCAAGCCTTAGAGTGCAAGACATTGGGTCAGAAGTGATAAATTGAGCAAGTTTTGACCCAGAAATCTCTCCACTACTTTCAGATGGTGTAAAGGCTAAAGGAGTACAGTAGTTGTACTCCTCTCTCTGTTTTGCATGAAGAACCAAGCCTGCTTTGCCCAAGGGGTTTTGAAAAGAATGATTCCTTTTTCCTTTTCTTTTACTTCTTCTCCCTATCCCCGCAGTGTCTAAATTGTTTGTCTTCTTGAGGGAAGATCTCTGACAGGATGAATAAATAAAGAGCCTCAATAAGGTTGACTCGTATGTACTTGCCACAAATGAGATGGAATGGCTCTATGGGTTGGGATAAAGTCATTTCATCTCTTCTCTTATTATCCCCAACGTGAAGACAGAGGCAGGAGCCATAAATCTGCCTGTCATGGCTGGCTGGATCGAAATGGGCTCCTCTTTGTAGGAGTCGCATCCATAGGCACGAGCAACATTTGATTCATGTGCTCTTGCTCAGCCTGCCTGAAACCACTGCAGAGTTTTCTCTGCTCAGGAGACAATGCCCTGTGGGTAGGTACTTCACAGTTTCCAACACCATTCAAAGAGGAAGCCCCCAGGCACTCTGTCATGGGGGTTGTATGCTCATTTTTCAAGTGGACAAGGGTGTGATCAAGGGGAAAGTTTACTTTTGAGGATATGGCTGACAGAATAGGGAGAAACGTTGCTGCTCACTGTTATGTCTCTTTGTCTTTGAAGTCAAAAGCTTTTCCAGGTGTCTTTGATGTGGCTCTCTATTAAAGCACTGTTCCATCAATTTTTGTACCCCATAGCACCAGTGCCTCCAGTCACTAATTTCCGTGTGATTGAAGAAGGACTTTTTAGCTTGAAGGTTGCTTGGACTCCTCCCCTGGGCAAGCTGGAAGGCTACAAAGTCTACATCCCCGGAGGTGAGTTTGGTTTCCTTGGAGCTTGCTTTGAAAAGAGCAGTGACCTGAGGGCAGGAAAGGTGCCTTTTCATCCAAGAAAAGAGTGATATCACTCCAGAATAAAGCCAAGTTAGCTTCTTCCAGGCAGTATAGTTCCTCTAGAATGGAGAACAAGAGTTATGAAAGAAGAGATGGGGATGATGATGGGGATGCATTGTACCATTTGCACTACCTCCCTGGATATTTTTCATACTCAAGTGCCTGCTTTGGTGTGGGATGTGGGATGAGTTCAAGCCTTTGGTATAGCCAGCATTCACTTCTGTGTGATTTGCAGGGCTGGGGACAGCACAGATGCATCAAGTCTTAACTACAGACCTGAGGGTTAGCAACATTTCAAAGGCATGCTCTTTGCTGTGTCTTGAGTACATTGCAATAGGGTGTAGACTTTAGGCACTGGGAAGGCTTCACCATCACTCTTCTCCTTGGTTTTTCAGCCAAAAGACCTGGAATGACCTATGAGCGGGTTTTGCAGGGTGATGTCTCCTCCCACATGCTAGATAACTTGCAGGAGGATAAAGAGTACAGCATCAGCATCTATGCAGTGTACCCCCAGGGTCCAAGCCAGCCCGTGACTGCCATGGGGAGAACATGTAAGAGGTTTGACTCTTTGACTCCTTCTTGCCTTGGGCACTGCATTCACACCTTTTGCTGTTGATAAGCACCCCACTGTTGGGCATGGCATGTGTGCACCAAAAAAGCATTACTCAACAGGTCCTTTCTAAGTCCATCCTTGAGCCATGCATGGATGTGGCCACCCTTGAACACCACCACACCGGTCAAGAGGAAAGGAGGGAGATGTGTTATGTACCCATGCTGCAGAAAGCAAGCAATGTTGGTGCCTGTGAAGGATCAGTCCAGAAAAGCAATGCCCATAGGTTTGGGTTTTCTCATCACTATTTTCACAAGATGCTGTCGTTCTTCCAGGCAAAGCCAGAGCACTCGGAAATCCCTCTCCACTTGAGAGACAACAGCACAAGGAGGGCAGCCAACAAAGTCAGTATGCACTTTGAAATATTTGTTTCCTGTCCTTCCAGTGAAGCTCCTGCCTGTGAAGAGCATCTTGCTGCAGAATGAGACCACTGATACACTCCAGGTGCGGTGGAGCTCCGTCCGGGGAGCAACAGGCTACAGGCTCACCTGGACATCAGCAGGTAAAAGCATGGGAATGAGATGCAAGCAATGGTGGTCAGGGAAATGGAGAGGCACTGGAAGCACTGACCAGTTTTCTGCTGAGCACGCAACAACAATCCCTGTTCACTGCAGGGCAGTTGGAGTAGATGAGCTTTAAAGGTCCCTTCCAACTCAAATGATTCCACAACCCAGGTTTTTTGGGTCTGTTGCGCCAAGACCTGACTTAATCTGCCAGCATGCCATATTGTACCCTCTTTCTCAGGCAGATTTTTGTATTTCAAGACAGATCTGCATATGCAGCTGGAGCCTATCCGTGCCCTGTACCCAAACATAGCTTCATTGCTGGTGTGGGAGAGCAGGAGTTAGAAATTCAGGCTTGATAGTATATTTTGGCCTTGAGAAATGGATGATTCTTTGGTTCAAAGATGAGATGTGTGTCAGGACACCTGGACTCCATCACAAACTTTGAAAAAAAAACAGCATTCCTTCTTATGGCTTATGAAATAAGAAGAGATTTCCCACTGGAGATGGAGGGGATTAGATGGAGAACAGCTCTAAGGTAATCAGAAGGGAAAAATCTTTCCAGGGAAAGTATAACACTGCTTTTATTGCTTTGTAAAGAATAGTTCTCTAAAAAAAGAAATCCAAGCGTACCCCAAAACTCAGCTCTTTATCCAGTCTTTGATTTACAAGCCAGATAGAGCACACTCAGCCTTCCACCTCTTCTCAAGAGGAATGAGCAAGATGTGTTCAGCCAAAGTGTGATCACATCACTTCTGTGCTGGGTTTATCGTATCTGAGCAGCTCTTTCACTCAATACCAGCTCACCCCAAATCCAGGGGTGACAAAAATCCCACCGTCACCACTGTTCCCCTCCCACACTCCATCCCATTCCAGGTCATGCATTACAGTGGCACTGGGATCAACGCTGTCCGTCCCCATTCAGCCATCACGGGTGCTGGAGGATGTTGATTTTTCTTCTTTAACAGGGAATAAACAAAAATAAAACAACTCCTTATACCGTCCATGGTGTATTGGTTGGGAGAGGGGGATGGGGCGCAGCGTGCTGATGGAAGCAGAAAATGGGGACATGGCACCCTCCAGTGACCAAACTGGAAATGGCATCCTCCTGTTCACCCCTCCCTCAGTCCCATCGTCTTGACAGCATCTCTGCTTCTCCGAAAACGAGCTGCGACCGGCAGGGATTAGGTATTAACTCTTCTCTGTTCGTGCCTCCCTCTAGAGTGATGATGAAAAGCTCTGCTGAGAGTATTCTAGCCTGTAGCAGGGATACAAAACCAACGGAGAAAATGTCTTTTGTGGCATTAGTTGTCTCCCATGTCCAGCAGGGAAGGAAGGATGGCTTCAACACCAAGTCACCCAGGGCTGGACAGAGTGTGGACCCTGTTAGAGGACTGCACTGAGCCCCACATACATTCATTTGGAACAGGTTGCCCAGGGAGCTGATGGAGTCACCATTCCTTGAGGTGTTCAAGAAAAGGGTAGATGTGGCAATGAGGGACATGGCATTAGGGTTAGGGTTAGGGTTAGGGTTAGGACATGGTGGGGATGGGTGTGCAGTTAGTCTCGATGATCTGAGTGATCTTTTCCAATCTTAATGATTTTATGATTTTTCTGTTTCTACCTGATTTCTTTGACCTGAAAAGCCCCAAACCACCTTGATCTGTTGGTGATTACTGGGTGGTGTGGGTTATTTCCATCATCTCCGCAACAAACACTTGTGCTCATTCTGCCCTGTCCCTACTGTCCTTGGTTTGAGGATTTCATGGGCACAGGTGCAAGCTAGGAGGACAAATGCCATTCAATCTCATGCAACCATTATCATCCTCAAGTGATTTTTTGTAGGATCTCAGCTGGGTGGTCCTCCTTGGCCTGACCCATTCATCAACTATCATTTCCATTCACAGATGGCAGCATCCAGGATGTGAACCTCAGCAGCACCTACAGCTACTACATGATCCAGGGGCTGCAGCCTGGCACAGAATACACTGTCACCATCAACCCCATCTTTGGAGATGTTGAGGGGCCAGTGGTGAGCAGAAAAGCAACCACAGGTGAGTGCCCCAAAGCAGGGGTATAGGCAGGGAAGGAAGCCCAAGAGGACTTAGATTGAGGTGAGATAGGTTGGTGTCATTTGTAGTCACCATCTTGCCTGTTATCTGATGTAAAGAGCAGCTGTGGAGGTGTGACACGTGGGGACATCGTTTGGTGTGTTTGATGGCAATGGGCTGATGGTTGGACTTGATGATCTTAGAGGTCTTTTCCAACCTCAGTGATT